CTATCCACATTGTGCAGCTTCCATTGTATAATTACAGACCTGTTGTCAGTTGCAGATAACCAAGAGCAATCATAGAACAGAGAACAATGGGGTTGGAAGAGACCTTGGAGGTCTTCTCTTCCAAGCTCTGCCCAGGGCAGGAGACCCTATAGAGACAAATGGCTGTCCAATCTCTTCTCAAAAACCCCATCTAAGCCTAACAAAGTATTTCACTAGTTGAGAAAACTTAATGCTCATACTGTATAATCTGTCTTCAAGAAACACATATTAAAAACAAGACCAGAAAAACTTAACAAATAAAAGACATGGGGAGGAATTTATATCTGCTGGGCTAAAAAAGATTAATGGAGTGGTTTTATATATAAGCCCCCAATTTAAACCTAGGCTACTTTGATCAGATAAATATGGTAGATTTGTAACAGTGGAAATTGTATTTAATGGAACAAAATCAATAGTGATTGGTCTTTATATGCCAAATTGGAATAAAAAGCAATTTCTTTGAGTACTTTATGGACCAACTCTCGCCTTTTTCATATGAAAATTGGCTTATGTTGGGGGATTGGAATGGTGTGACTTTGCCACTTTGGGATAGAAAATATATTAATGGAATCAAACCCTCCCAGGGTAAATTACCAAAAACATTCTTCGAAATGATGGACAATTTAGTGCTAGTAGACTCATGGAGGCAATTGTAAAGGACTGTAACAAGAAATTACACGAATATTTTCATAATAATCTCGGCAAAGGGACAGACCTGTCTGAAAGTGTAGTAAGGCAGCTATGAGGGGTTATTTTATACAATATAATCAGTTAGAGAATAAAAAAAATCTCTGGAAAAGACCCAAAAGATATTCGACACAGTCAGAAAGAAAGAAACTGAATTGCAAAAGTCACCTGTGGACACCTAAGAAAAATAAAATTAGGCAAAGCCCCTTGCCCAGATGGACTTACATGTCAATATTATAAATGTTTTGAAGATGAACTTCTGCAGCCATTAAAGAATATAATGAATGTTATATTACAAGGGAGAAATGATACCCCCAACCTGGACAGAAGGTAATATTGTGTTACTTCCGAAGGAGGGTCAGTATGCTATGTTGATAAAGAACTACAGACCAATCTCATTAATAAATGAGGATTATAAACTATTCACTGAGATTTTGGCAGAAAGACTAAAAATGTTTTACAGATATATATTCATGATGATTAAGCTGGCTTTCTTCCAAAAAGACTGTTAAGGAATAATGTGAGTAGTTTTTGAATATTATTGAATATTTAGAGTATCATAGTTTTAATATTCTTAGATGCTGAGAAAGCCTTTGACAACTTAAATTGGGCCTTTATGTTTAAAGTCCTGCAAGAAATGGACTTTAGTGGGAATTTTATTAAAGGGGTCAAGGCTGATTATATATCAGAAGAAGCACAAAAAATTATTAATGACAATCTAACTAATTCATGTGAAATTCGTAAGGGTACAAGACACGGATGCCCATTGTCTCCACTGCTGTTTATCCTGCTGTTGGAAGTTCTGAATAGAGATATTGTGCAAGATGGGAAAATAAAAGGTATAAATTTTAAGAAAGTATTTTATAAACTGAGGGCCCTTGCTGATCATTTGGTGATATTTCTGCAAGAGCCAAAACATAATATAGAATATTTGATGAGGAAACGAAATGAGTTTGGGTACTTGGCTCATTTTAAAATAAAGAAGCAGAAAACATCAATGTTGATTAAGAATATGACCTCACAGGATGGTGATACACTGAGTAAAAAGTTTGGTTTTAAGGTTGAGAAAAAGGTGAAATATTTGGGGGTTATGTTAACAAACTCAAACACAAAATTGTTCAAAAATAATTATGTGCCTCTCTGGAACGGTATTAAAAAAGATGTGAATTATTGCAAAGAAAGAGGGGGTTTGAGTTTACCTGAAATTGTACTTTGACGCTTGTTGTTTGGTTTGGCTAAAATAATGGGTGAACCTTCAGAATAAGAGGTTACTGGACGGCCATGGATTAAGGTATGGCTGGCACGGTTACTTGTCGTATGACAAAGTTAAAGTGTTGATTTCAACAATCATTTTGTTAGACGTGCCATTTTGGAGTTTGGAATAAAACAAGGTTTTCTATGAAGGTGCCACTTTGGGTTTCCCCACAAGAAGTCTTTTTTAGAAAAGAGATGGTGATGAGGCTGAATTGGTGGACCTATGGTGAAATAATTAATTTTACTTTGGGGGAGCCTACCCTCAGATCCAAGGAGGAGCTAGAATCAGAAGGTCATGTCTGCCTTTGGTTCACATATATGCAATTGAAAGAAAGATTTAATCTAGGCAAAAAGAATCATGGGTTTAGTTGTGTTAAAAATGAATCGGAAATCCTACTGTGTGGTAATAATGAACATATTATTGCTAAAGTTTATAAATTGTTATTGAATTTAAATCTGGAAAATGAACAAGTAAAACATTGTATGATTCAGTGGGCAAGGAATTTTTGGTATAATGTAATGCTTGAACACTGGGAGAATATGTGGAATAAAAGATTAAAATTTACTTTAAACTATTAGTTAAAAGAAAAGTTTTACAAGATGATGTACATTGGTATTTAACACCAGTTAAGTTATCAAAAATGTATAAAGGCATTTCAAATGAATGTTGGAAATGTAAAATGTAAAGAGGGGAGTTTTACCATTTATGGTAGATGTATGATAAAGCAAGAAAATATTGGAGTAGGATTCATATGTTAATACAGAAAATTCTTAAAGTGAATATGGAAAGAAAACCAGAAAGTTTTCTTTGTGGGCTAATGGACAAAGACCTGAAAAAAAAATAGGGAACCTTGATGTTATATAAGTTGACAACAGTAAAGTCACTCTACGACAGGGGTGTGAAATTGCTGACCTGTGGGCCAGATGCAACATAGTGAAACCATGCCCTCACCATTGCCAGCAATTACAAAGATGTTGTGATATGTTTGACACCCCTGCTCTATGCTCAGAGATGGAAGACCACATCGATTCCCACAATGGAGGAATGGTTGCAAAAACTGACGGAGCTAGCAGAGATGACTAAATTGATTGTACTAATTAAAGAAAACTACATGAATACTTTTATTGCTATGTGGAAACCAGTTCTGGACTTTGTGCTTGAGGTGGAAAAAAATGAAATTTTGACTTGAGGCTTTATCGATTTGATAGATTTGTTGTTATCAAAATGGCTAGTTTACACTATTTTGTAAAAGTAAGTAGTTGAGGTTTGATGTTGATATTCTATTTTACTGCACCAAAGGAAGTCAGAAGTGAGTTATCTGTATTGTTCCCAAAATCTTCTGGCCAAAAGTGAGATGAAGAACTATCAAACAATCTTACTGATGCAGTAAAAAAATGTAAATGTTTCCCCTGCCAGTTGTGTCTGACTCTAGGGGGTGCTGTTCATCTCTGATTCATAGCTGAAGAGCTTCTGGGGTCATGTGGCCAGCATGATGATATGCAGATAGAAAACAAATATCTTCAATGTGTTTAAGGGTGCAGTTGAGACTCATGCACAGTAGGAATCTGCAATTGGGGATTTTCCACCTTTTTGAATCCAGAGAATCTTTACTAACAGTCAGCATTTAAAATTGTCATAGAATTATAGGTCTGGAAGGGACCTTGGAGATCTTCTAGTCCAACCCTCTGGCCAAGCAAGGAGACCTTATACCATTCTGGACAAACAAAGGCCTTGAAAAGCTCCAGTGATGGAGCTTCCACAGCTTCTGGGGTCAAGACATCCCACCCATTAATGGTCCTCACTGTCTCTGGAGATTCTCAATCATCCAGGTCATGGTTAGCCCAAAGGTGCTGTTCAAAAGGCAACTGGACTTTCTTGGTTGTTGTTGTTTTCTGAATATTTAAAATAGAGATATTAAATCTGAAGGTTTTTTTAGGTATTAAGGACAAACCAATTCAAAAACGTTATCACTTTATATGATGACTGCTGTGAGGATTGTACTTGCTAAGCCCTGTGCTGACTGTGGAGGAATGGATATTAAAATTGTCTGAACTAGCAAAGATGGCAAAACCAACTGCTTTGATCAGACAATGGACTAGACAGGATTATTAGAGACTGGAAGCCGTTGGTGGACTTTCTACCTGTTGAGTACAATAATAGATGGATTCTCTCATCTGGAATATTTGTTTGTTTAATATAGTAGTTTTGTCAAATAAGGATGGGAAAGCTTATAACTATTTGTAGACCCATTACATAAGAGAAGGAGAACCTATCATTTTTTTCAATGTTTCAGCATCTAGTCGGGGTGGGCTCTTTTTGTTCCATGTCTGATATGAATGAAGGAGAACATAGATGTCCCGGATAATGTTGCACGATCCAATCTGGGTCAGTCACCAGGACCAGATTTTGTCTCCTGACCTTTCGGACTCGTGCTGGACACAGAGAGGGGCTCTGAGGATGGGCTCCAGCATGAGACTGGAAGCTTGGAAGACGAAACTTCTGGTCCTGATGACGGACCCAGATTGAATCCTACAATATTAGATATATTTAACATTTAGGTCTCCACACCGTTTTTTGTACCCATTAAAAAAAACACTTTATTTTTCCTTTTTCTTCACTCTTATGTTGGAGGTTCATTATTCTGTTTCTCTGTTTTCATTTTATTTGTGTTGACAAATGAAAATAAATATTCTTTAAAAAAAGGGAAATATTTTGCTTCTTATCCAAGAAGCTTCTTCAGTTCTTCACTTGGCTGAGAAGTGAAGGATTTTCATGGGAAAAAACCCCAAGAAGGTCCTTCTGCCTTTTGAAAAGCACTTTTGGAACTGTGTTACAATATGTGGATTTTATTTATTGTTAAAGGCTCCTTCTGAAACAAAATACTATCCCTTGAATTTTCTGGATAACTGTGAATAAGTTCCTTTAATGCCAGTAGATAATTCACCTCAGGAGTGTATGCAAGTTCTTAATGCGGTTTACTCCAGCAAATCAGATTTGAAAAATGAGCCTTTACAAAATGCAGAATGAGAATAGTGAGTTTATTGATGGAAGCAGTTACATCTTGGAAAGCCAGCATGAAATTTTGGGAGAGGAAGCATTGACTTCGAATACACCAGCTCTAAAGGCAGAACTTGTTGCATTAAATGTACTTTGCAATTGGCAAATGTAAAATGGCCATTTTTTTTTCTTGACAGCAAAAAAGCTCTTGGTGTTGTACATGCCCATGGAGCTTTGTGGTGGGAAAAAGGTTTGATTACAGCAAGAGGTAAACAGATTAAATATGGAGAAGAAATATTGCGGAATTTGGATGCCATCTGGAAGCCAAGAGTAGTTTACTAGTAGGATAAAGACAGATGGATCTCTTTGGACTTGAGGGAAGTTGAACCTTTTGGAAGAAGGATCTCCAAAATCAAATCTGAGAGAAGCCAGAAGTTGATTAGTAGGCTGTAGTCACAACAACACACTGCCTGTTGCTGCAGACCTGAAAGTCAAAGCAAGAGATGATCAATGGAGTAAGACAGCACTTTCCAAACTAACCGAAAATTCTTTCAGGTTCATATAGTATAAAAATCAAGGGGAAGTGACTCCTGATCCTTCAAAGTAAGCTTTGGGATTGCTTCATTGTTAGGTCACAACAAGCTCTGTCCTGATTCTCTCATTTCTCTCTTCCACCTGAGTACAAGGCTCTGAGAAGGCCAGGCATTTTGTTCTTGGAAGAAAGAAACAGCCCTGCGACATTGACCTCATTTGTTGTGGTTGCTGTTTGAAAAACAAAACAAAATAACAACAACGAAAAAAAGGCTAGATGGATACTTTTTCTTCTATGTAGATTCACAGCTTTCAGCATTGATCGATTGCAAAAAAAAATTAGTGATCACCCCTTGGAATCAGACTTTACAGCACACAGATTGGAGGTAATCTTTTACTAACCATTCTATCTCCATTGTTGTTTAGCCATAGAGGCCATTTCTGGGACAGTCAGCAGATTGGCCAGTGCAGCGGTCATCCGGGTTATCACCCCTTGCTCTCCGGCATATTGTTCTTTTTTTCTTAAACTGTGGGTGAGAATCAAAAATACTCCAGCTATCACTCTTCAGCAGCAGAGATCAAAGAGTCAAACCATGGTTCACAACACATTTCAAATCCTCCTCTTCATCTGTCTTGAGGATCACCAAGCAAGGCATCCCTGCCCTGTTACAACTGTGTGTGGTGCCTAGAAGTCCCAGTCTGTCTTATTTGCTACGGGGAAATGATTGCAATGAAAGGCTCAATTCCTGAAACACAGGTTCTACCTGTTGGCTGACCATAAAGGGAAAATCAATTGGGCTGTCATGTAAAAGCAGCAAAAAGTGAATTGCTGAACTTCTCATGATATATTTTTATTTCTTTACATGGGAAGAAGCATTCATAGAATTTTCTGTCACATGCTGAAAAACACATGGCTCCCTTCTCCTGCTGTGAAACTAGACTTGTGATGGAAATATGCAAATAACAAAATGTTTTGGTCCACTTTGCTCAAAAAGTTCATTACAGAGTCCACTGGGATCCCACATAGAAAGAAGGAATGAGGAACTAGCACCTCTCTTTTCATGGTCCTGCAGCACCTCCAGAATGCGCCAGCAAAACACCTGAATTTGGAGCTTTAGAGCGCAGGTAGAGAACTTAAAGGGGGAAAAGGGCAACTTTACTTCCAGAAGTCTCCTGCATTTATTTCCATCCTAAAAGGCTCAGAGAGAAAAATGTCACAGCATTACCGGAGACCTGTTAGAAGCTTCCAGAAAGTTAGGAAGCTGAGTTAGGGCACCAATTTCAAACATAGCCTATCCTTGTTTAAACTGGGTTTTCTCAGTCAAAGAACCAATATATTATTTTCACAGACATGATTTAACATGCCGAAAGAGTGCATCTGAGATTGAGACAAAGCTGAAATTTTGTTAAATTATCCTCCCTATGGATATGTTCATAAGGGTAAAATAAAATGGAAGAAGGGATAGGGATAGGGTTGAAATGTTTTGATCATAGTAATCAGCCAAGAGATATTACATTTCTATATGGCTAGTATGGAGCAGAGTAAAATCTCTCCTGGTGTTAAAAATAAACAAGTCTTACTCTGCACTGGTCACAACACAGTCCTTCTGCACACTGCGCCCCTGGTCTCAGTTTACAGGTTGCAGCATCGCAGCACGGATTCTGAAAACCAAAACATATCAAATGATATCATAGAATTTTATTTTTTAATTGGTCTATTTTGAAGAGGGAAATTTCTGCAATTAGTTCTTTCTTATGGGTTCATGCTAGCAAATGCACAAATTGTTTGTTATTGCACATAGATAATGGCATCTGTCTGTGAAAGAGCCTTATTTGATATTTCCTAGGTGAAAAGAATAAAACAAAAATATCCTCATCTCCTAATTGTGAAGCCCACATAACCTACAGCCCCATTCCTTTCTTATTCATGAGGGATTTTCTACTCATCATGCCAGCCCTTGAGGTAGTCCAGAGAAGAAGCACCAACCATGAGTATTAACACTACCCTGATTGTAAGGTTACCGTAGCAGAATCTTTCAATATTGAAAGTATATTTCTACCATCAGTTACGGGAGAAAGCAGCTCAAGAAAATAGTGGGACAGATAATGTGGCCATATCAACAAAATAGGAGTTTTCAGGAGGAAAGGATTTTCTTGGAGTTGTCAATCACCCATTTTTAAAAATACACCATCTTCCCAAAATAGTAATGAGGTACCAGTTCTCCATTCCTCTAAAACTGGTTAACCAAATCTAAGAAACCCCTTCATACATGACTGCACATAAAGGGCAGAAACCTATGCCATTCACAAACCAACATCTTGGATGGCTCAAACCACTTAGAAAGCCAGATGATTTTTCAAGGATTCCCGTTTTTGAGAAAATTCTGCATATTCTTGTTGATTAAAAAAAAAAGACTTACTTCAGGAGAGCCACAGTCACATTCTTCTCCCGCCTCCAAAAATTCATTTCCAGAAACTGGAGTTGAAACAGTATCTGTTCTCAAGGGTGCATTGAGAATGCATTGTGGGTTATCATTAGTAAGAAACGTCTGGTAATAATCCTTACTACAATCGCTGAACAGTTTGGATTGTTTATCGCTGTAGAGATGAACCAAAATAAAACCATTACATCATCCATATTTGCACTAGGAACAGAATTCATTGCAAAACATATAAGGAAAAGGAATGACTAATGAAGAAATGCAGTGATTTGTTTCCCTCTAAAGCTAACAAAATAGATAAGAGAACCCTTTGTAGCCCTTGATCTTAGTTCCAGATTATGCTCCCTCAGTTTTAATTCCACTAAGTTTCCCTTCTTTTTTAACAAAATAGATTTGCAATGAGAACTCCATGTGATATTAGTTGATTGAGCTGCATCTTGTGTTTGAGTGGGCTGCCTTTTATTTTCATTTTTAGTCAGCCTCTCTGTGGAAGGACAATAATATAATTGAAGGGAAAACAGTGGAATTTTGATCCAGTTTTCCTTTTCTTCTTTTGGAGGGATTGTACTTTTTATAACAATGAATAGAGAGCTAAGTGTGCTAACTCTCTATTTTCTTAAATTATTTGTTGTTCATTTGTTTTGTTGAATCAACAACATGCCACTGAGCTCTGAAGCTGAATACTTAAATAGATGCAAACATGGCATCCTAAGCCCAGCAAAGCACCTTCCTAATGTTAATTCAAATCATTAGGAATATAATCATTGCAGGGGGTCGAAACAAGAACGCAAAGAGAATCTGCTGATGGCCATTAAATAGACAAGGTGGTCTTCTTTCAATGTCAAATTTACACCAGACCCCTTTGGTGGGGTTAATTGAGCAAAATTGTTTTCTAAGCAAAGTCTTCTGTACAAAACACCACGAAGTGTGTAGAAGTATTAAAGAGTAATCACGATGCCCAGAAATCCTTCAGGAAGGACAGGAAAGGCTACTTGGCATTCTCCATACTTCCTGCCCTCCTTGCCATTGCATGAAATGGGAGGCAATGAAGTCCGAGGGCTTTAGCCGAAGAAACCAGAAATTGATCAACAGCTGGGATGCTCACTGAGCCTACACAAAACGCTTACACAAAGGTTACGGGGAGTTTTGCAACAGACAATTGCTGAGAAGATTTTGCTTCCTTTTTCCTTTTCTTTTTCCTTCTTGATGAAGTAAGGCCTAAACTTGCACCCAGAAGAAAATATTGGTAGTCCTTGACTTGCTGTCACAACTGAGACCAGAATTTCCATTGCCCAGCAAGCCAGTTGTTAAGTGAGTCGTGCTCAGCTTTACAACCAGTTTTGTCACTTTGTTAAGTGAACCACACAGTCATTAAGGGACCCAGCTTGCTTCATTGGCTTTGCATGTGGGAAGACAGCTGGGAAAGTCACAAATGAGGATCCCAGGAATGAAGGATGCTGCAAGCGTCATAAATACACGATTCTGTGACTGAAGGGAGGCTGTGATGGCTGTAATTGCGAGGACCGGTCGTGAGTCACTGTTCTCAGGGCCAGTGTAACTTCGAACGGTTGCTAAACAAATGGTTGTAAGTCAATGACTTCCTGTACGTTGCTACCTGCTGATTTCAGAAGACTGCAATATATGACAGAGATGTAACATATTCTACCTTGATGAAAGGGCGAGACAGGAAAACCCAAGGATGCTAATTTATCTTTTTCTTCCTGCTTATGCTTTCTACGCTGTTTCTTTAAACTCCAATGTTTTGGAGGAAGCTACTGAATGATGGCTATTCAAATTCTGAGGACAGTTCTACCTTTTTAAATAGGACACATTTTAACTACACATGGTAAGGTGACACACAAATGACCATAATCCTCCTTTTTTGTAACTCCCCGACCATTTCTTTTTTGTATGTTCTCAATATATTTAATTTAACAATTAATTGCAACCATTTAAAAATAAGTTGATTGGAAAGACATTAAAAGTTTCCTTCAATCCTTACCTTATCACGGCAGACATAATGCATGTGTCACATTTACACTTATCTTTATCATCGTGTTCCATGCCCAGATTATGACCGAGCTCATGGGTCATTGTAACTGCAACCATAAAAACCTTTGAGCTATGATCCTGAAGATAAGAGAATACTTTGTTTATTGTTAGTCCGCCAAGAAACTGAAAATGAATCCAATTATTATTAGCACTAGGTGGCTAAAACTGGTGACTAAGTGACCAATTTTAAGTGGAGGATACCATCTTAGGATTCCTCTAGCTCTTCTGAATGTATCTGCGCCCACCAAGACTCCAGAACATACACAAATACATTCAGAAGGAAACTTTAAAGCCCAGAAGCCACAGCACAGGAGAAGATCAAACTTTATGCATCCATTTGCTGTCTGTATTTATTCAGTTACTAAAACTTACAGGCAACTTCAGGACCTGGAGATGTCAAATCCATAAATAAATATGGATGAAAATGACGTGGATAAAAAAATAAGAAGAGACTTCATTTGTAAAGAAGTTTTGCCTGTATGTAAGTTTTCACTTGAGTACAAATAGATAACAGGTATCTTTTGTACTAACCTTAACAACTGCTACAGAATACTTTTCATCGCACATGCGGCCCACGTAAGCCCATCCTATAGTGTTTCTAGCGAAGTTAGTGTCCCTATAAGAAAGAAGGGCAGGGGGATAAAAATTGATAGAAGGTAGAAGCATGTTATGTAGTCTTAGGGCAGACATAACTACTCTCAGAAACCGTTTAACTAAGCAGATCTGTTAAAAATATTCAGGATGCATTTTCACTGTATGGTAAAGTCTGGCTGGTGTTAGCATGAATTAGGTTGGGGAGAGGGGTTAGCATGTTGTCTGAATCAAGCCGTTTGGGTTAATTTAATTCCATTAACTATGCAAACCCCAAATACACATTTAGTTAATAGATTTTGTCTATCAATTTAGCTGTGAGATTATTGAAGACTAGATGATTTGGGGAAAAGTGATTGGGTGGAAAGTCAAATCACCATCTGTGGGAAAAGTAAAAAGGATATTTTTTTTGTATTTTTGTATTTTTCTGCCCTCCATCTAGTTCCTATTTCATAAGACCTACTTGTTATGCAAGTATCCTGTAAGATTGCTTGCAACACAATTATTATTTGTGCAATATCTTATAGATATCATGTCAAAGCAGGAATCATCAACAATAAACATGTCAGTTTCCCACTCATAAAATTGAATGACAATATATAGGCTGATGGGGTGTGGAACTGAGCAGTGAAGACAGTGGGCTTGTTGACTGGAAGGTGGACAGTTTGAGACTTAAGTTCTGCCTGACGCAGAGAGCTGCCGTTACTTGCTCCAGATCCTGCCGGCCTATCAGTTCAAATGCTCGCAAACATAAGTAGATAAATAGGTACCATTTCGGGGAAGGTAATAGCACTCCATGTGATTTTGTATAATGCAAGTGTTCATTTACTTGGTGTAGAATGGGAATCAAAACATTATTTAATTGAATTAAAAATGAATGTGTAAGAACAGCAAAAGTGTAGCAGAATAATCATAATAGTTTCAATTTTAAATCCAGGTTTTTCACCTGCAATCAGTCAAGGCCTTCTCAAAACCAGCTCTCATCTACAAAATAAGTGGTTGACTTTGATTCAGAAGCATAGTTCACACATGGTTTAAAGCATAGAGCAGAAGCTCTGTGCAAACACTAACCTCCCGGCCACCCCCACTCCCTTTCCCCACAATGAGACGTACGTGAGTAACTGAGCATGATCATGATTTTTCTTCTTCAGCAAGACTCTCTCTCTCCAGTCTCCAAATAAGCCCGCAGTAGTAGGCGCGTCTGCCTGCACGGTAATGAAATCTTTTTCGGACCAAACGTCTAGGAGAGCCAGTGTTATAGCAATATTCAGAGGTCTGCACATCTGTCAGGTGGAAATGGCATCAATCAGAAACTCAAACAAAAGTAAACCTTGAGAAACATTTCAAGATTAAAAAGCAACTGACCTCTAGGGACAGGTGAAAAAAAAATAGATCTTAGATATCAATAGAAGAGAAATCTCTGGAGCTCAAGGTTGAAGTCCTTGGTGCTCTCTGAGTTTGCTGCTTTGCTTACTCATGTGGAGTAGTCAGATAATGAAATGTCTGCAAGGAAACCACCAAGCTCAGACAGCAGTAAGGACTCTATACTGTATATTGGGCAATAATAATAATGTATTAAGGAGGAGAAATAAATAACATAATAAAAAGAAGCAGGTGATTATTCTCTGTAATCAGGAACAGAAGAGTAGGAGGACTAAAAGGAGAGTTGACTCATCAATATTCCTATTCTCTCCCTGTTTCTAACTGATCATCCACAATGAAAATGTAAATAAGGCTAACAGAAGACTGCAATACGGGTGTATCTCCTCCTAAGTAACCACAGTCTACGTCAAGTTGAGTTCCTCTCTCCAGGTTTCTTCTTGGGGATCAGTTTCATAATCAACTGAGCTTGGAATAGGCTGACTCTGTCCATCTCTTTCTAATCTCCCAGTTCAGAACCATTAACCACAGCCTGAAAGAATCCAGCTACAGATATAGTTCTGATGGAATTCTTGCAACACTTTTGGATTTGCATCCTCCCAACACAGTGGCTGTATTCCCATAAGAGGCTTATTAACTTAGTTACTGAATTAACCCATTTTCTGGGATGGCCTCACATGCTGGATCACCAGCTGACCAAATGACCTAGTTTGGCCTCACTCAAAGCAACAAAAGATAGCGTTCTTGTAGAAATCCATCTTCTCTCTATGTGTGTTGTGTGAACACAATGAAAATCTGGGCTGGGGCTGAGAGAAGTTTAAAATCAACAAGTGAAATAATATTTGCCATGTCCTCTTACCTCATTTATATTGCTGACCATTTGATGTACCCTTTTTCTTATCTTTTTAAAATTGCTACTGTATTTGGTGTACTACAGAAAAGATAAAAATGTTAAGATGAGATTGTAATGGAAAACCACGATACTTACATCAGAAGACAAGACCACGAAGGGTTGGAGAACACAGTTTTTTATTTGCGCAAAGGTTCAGAGTATTCATACGACAAATTCTGAACACCGGGTTATTCTCAGCGTGTCATTCTTATACAGCTCGCCACCCACGCCTAACCCAATGGATGACTCCTTATCTACCTTTAACACACTAAAAGAGGGAAGTTTCTATCTTGAGACCAAACACATAGGAAAAAGGGAAGTTGATACAATTGACAGAAATGTCCCTGTGTCAGGCCAGCCTACGTTTAAGCTTGGCCAACCTACCTCACAGAAAATCCTCAACTTATGCCTGCTCCACTTAATACCATAGTTCTGGGTCCCATAAGCAGAACTAAAATGCTTCAACATACACCCCAATGGAGTAAGGGGCACACTTCCACCACCACCCCATAAGCCTCCCAGGGTACCAGGCAAGACAATAGAGGAAAGGGGTGAGAGGAAGGTAAGGGATCCTTCCACTCGGGATAACACTGGGGGTTCCACTTGTTCACGCTCGGCCCAGGGAGCCAGAAGATCACCGCCTCCGATGGGAAATACGAACGCCACTCACTCTCTACTGGCATAGGGTGCCGGACACTCACGGTCACCTGTGGGAAACTCAGTAGCCTTTCACATCAAGCATTCACAACAGTCCTTCCACCTTATACCAAAGAGATTGTGATCAGTCCTCTCCCCCGTCCCTGCTTACAGGGAGGGATTGTTTTCCCATCCAATACTTGGCTGCAGGCGAATCCTTTGTCCTCTAGTCGGCTGGAAAGATGCCTGGTCTCCTTTCCCTTCACCTGTGGTTCTTGGAGTGGCTGACCGCCGTTGCTGGAGCCCTGTGCCACAGGGAAGTCCCTTGGAGTAAAAGGTCCGATGGCGCCTGGGATGTTCCCCCTAACACTACAGGCCCCTGGCAACAGGGTGAGCCCTCCAGAGAGCCCCAAGACTCCTTGTAGTCCTGCCGCGGTCGCCAGATAATTGTAGTGGAAAACCACGATACTTACATCAGAAGACAAGACCACGAAGGGTTGGAGAACACAGTTTTATTTGCGCAAAGGTTCAGAGTATTCATATGACAAATTCTGAACACCGGGTTATTCTCAGCGTGTCATTCTTATACAGCTTGCCACCCACGCCTAACCCAATGGATGACTCCTTATCTACCTTTAACACATTAAAAGAGGGAAGTTCATATCTTGAGACCAAACACATAGGAAAAAGGGAAGTTGATACAATTGACAGAAAACCACACTGCTCTACACGAGTAATATCTTACACCATCTGAGACGTTCGGTTAGCATTTCTTGTAAAAAAGGTTTCTTCATAAAATTGCACACAGGTCATCACACTCAGCCAGTTTATAATATTAGTTAATGCTTGCAGCACATCACCTCTGTTAATTAAAATGTTGTTTATAGTATTTTTCCAACTCTCTTAATATCTATATCTCTTAATGGCAATTCTCAACCGCCTCAAGATCATAATTATAGGAAGAAGGGAAAGAAGGAGGGAGAGAAAGAACATATTAGTGAAAGGGTCATTGAATTTGTTGATGTAATAATATTTTTTATCCAAGCAGTCCAAAGAATTCTTTTGTGCTGATTTTTTAATCTACATTTTTGTCATTAATATATTAAGGTTTTTAACTTTTCAGCAGCATACATGGGCTTTTTTCCTGGTTGGAGAAAATTTTGGTCAGCCTGCTGAAATGCTTTTCTAAATTGGATGCTATATTTCCATGTTCAGAGATGTGTGAGATAAGCATTTTTCACTACACATCATTTTCTTCGTGTGTTGTCAATTTGGACAACCAAAGAGTGCAGGAATGTTTCAAAGAAACCTACAGAACTGTTTAACCAGTGTGGGATAAAAATAAATTTAGATGGTATCCAGGAAGAACAAATGTGCAAATTAGAGTATATTTACAAATGACTCTTAACTTTGTAAATATTGGTTGGGTCCAATAACAAAAAATATCAAAGTTTATGATAAAGCACATTTTAAGAGACAGCCAGTTAGGATATTTGTTAATCTCTTCAAAAATGCCCACATTAAAAAAGGCAGAAACAAAATGCTGTGCTCAATGCAGAAAGAAAATGGAGAGATATCCAGGATACTTACCATTCCATGGTCCACAACTATTGCAAGCTTAATGTATCTTTGGGGGAATCTTTGTTGCTAAACAGAACAATAAAGAAAAGGCTGTTTAGACATGTTGCTCCCAGCAGCCAACAGGAATGTTGGTCATCATCAGATAATCAGAAAAGTGCTTGTTTTAATCTCTGGTCAAAATACTTGAACTTTCAGAAATATTGGTTCTTTCAAGAAGACATTTATAGGAAGACAGCTTGTTAAAATTTTAGCCCTGAGCCTTGAGCCCTTCGGAACTGGGCCATGGAAGTGGCAGGTGAGCGCCTGCATCTCCACTTGCATGACCAACGAGTGAGCATGGGTGGGTGTGCTCCATTTGCATGAGTGGGTGTGTGTGCCCACTGCTCAAACAAATAGATCTGGGTGCACGCATGACCCCGCTGCTCACGTGGAACCATCCCCTCCCCCCCACCTGTCCGCAAAGCTGGAAAGGTTGGGGAACTCTGACTTAGAGAAAGTACTGACAAAGTTTTGAGGAAAAAGTACATTATGCAATGGATTGTCAAGCACAAACAAAAGTGGTCTCCTTTAATAAAAATCACTTTCTTTGTATTAATAAGGTGTGGCACTTGTTTCCAGTTAATTTGTTTTTGAAATTTATGATGCCTACATTTAAAGATAAAGGTATATATGAATACCTAATTCTGAACCAAATTTAATATGAATAAGAACAGGC